TGACAGCTATGCAGACACGGGGGCCCAGGCTGGGAAAGCCAAGGCACATGGCAGGCCCCCCCCACCCCCCCCCCTCGGCTTGCTCAGAAGTGCCTGGAATTTTAAATGAAGCCATCTTTTATGTGACTCTTTACACACGGAGTTTCTCCACTTAAGCAGCTCAGCGGTTCGTCGACGCGTTCATATTCAAGCGAATATGCAATGCTTGTGTACGAAACACACACACACACAATTGCAAATTGTGTTTTTCTTCCCCACCACCGCTATGTTGACGTGCAGCAAAAGTGAGAGGATTGATTTTTTAATGACTTGGGGCAAGAACATCTTCCACAGCCGATTTCAGATGCCTGTATTAGCGAAATGAAATAACGTATTAAACGTGTGTCTAACATTAGATTACACTATCCACGCATGCACATTTGAGCTTCGTGCCCGTGTGTGCATACGTGCGCACGTGCTGTTCAGCGGTCCATCAATTCGTTGCTTAATATCAATCCTCGAGGCTCGTAACAAACCGCGCCCCGAGTCGTGCGTGTAAGAAGCCATTATTTACCATTTAATCTAAACCTATAGATTGACGTGTTTCAGTTACATTTTGGGCTAAAGGTACGACTCAGAATTGTCGCAAATGCAAGGGAACAAACGGCAAATGAGACCAACAGAAAGAGAAAAAAAGAGATCAGACAGAACCGTTTCTGGGATCGAATTGCAGCTCCCAATCACGATTAGCTATTCATCGAACCGGTTAGAAGTGTGTGTTAACCATCAGTTCTAATGCAGACGTCGAGTAGCACGTGTTTATTTGTGCATGGGAGGGGGGGGGGCGATTGGTCAAGTGGGCTTCCACGCGAGCCCATGTTTATACCCGAAAGTAGAAAGGACCACGCATACCGTAGAGATCGTTGGCTCCGCGAGGTTTGAGTTAGCTGACCCTTTATTCCGAACAGCAAAACAGTGATGGACGCAGTCGGCCACAGTTGCGAGTGCGACTAATATGGTGGAACAACTCCACGGCCCAGACACACTTCATTACGCCCCCCAACCCCAGCCGTCGGTACTTTATTTTAAGCGAAAACAAATCGCGGCAGACAGCCCAGACTCGCGCACGCATCTCTGCGTTTGCGTGCGTTTACAAGAGTGCTGTTACTGAAGCATGCTCCAGTGCGCATACTTAACATCGCGTTTGCCTGGGCATGCATATTTGTAGACACAAGAATAATTAGCATGCAAGCATTTACTTTGAGCACATTCCCTTCACTTATGTCGCTTTAAAAATAGCACTATGTAAAAAATGAGACAATCCATGAACAAAAATGCAACTGTGTGAAAGCAAGGACAAGGAGTGAGCCTTTGGGCTCTTGGGCATTATAAAGACAATGATCTAAGAGGCGTGCTTGTGAAATTGGGTGTTGCTCACTGACCTTCGCGAAGCTAAGTTAAAATCCAATGTTCTGGCCGCAACAAGTGAAGTGCGATCACGAGGCTAAGTGTCACGGTCACACGGCCGCCGCTATTGAGCTGCCGAAAATTTTGTGAACTCTTAAACACAGAGCCTTCAAAAGCAATCCATGCTACTAAGTGCACATGACCCATCAGATCAATGGCTTTATTGCAGTCCATTGATTCTTTTTTTTAATACATTTCTCACACCATCGCCAAAAACCTCCAGCCACAGTGGAGGACGAGGTGTAATTTCACGTTTTTTTTCGAATTAAAACATTTGTGATAAGCGCTGCTGTCATGTAAAACATGTTATGACCATTGATAGAACGATGGCTTAAATATTCTCATAATTGAAATTCTTTGCTTGATTTATCACCTTACATTTCCGTGAATAAGAACAGGTTTTTTTTTACCACCTTATTCAATATCTTCTTATTATTCCATGCGTTTGTCCCACACAAGTGGGGTCCGCTGTCCTTCCTAACATTCTCCACGCTGCCCTGTCCTGTGCCATCTCTTTTTCCGCTCCTCGGGCCACCGTGTCCGATCGCACCACATCGCCCCCCCCCCCCCCACCTCTTCTTCCGCCTTCCTCTTGATCTCATTCCTTCCACTTGCATCACTTGCACCTTCTGATCCACGTTATTTCCCTGTTGTCTCTCCACATGACCGAACCACACCAGCCTTTTCTCTCTCATCTTCTCTGCGATTTCTACCACCTTGAGTCTTCCTCTCACTTCTTAATTTCTCACCCCATCCTTCCTTGCTAAACCCAACATCCACCGCAACATCCTCATCTCCTCGACTGCCATAGCTTCCATATAGAGGGCATTAAGCAAGGCTTCCCACAGCTCCATTTGTCACCAGCAGCAGCGAGGGATGCCAGGCGTCACTGATCACCCACAGTTCATTATTTCCTTGACACAACACGAATGTTAGCAACTGCCATTAATTTTCATTTGTCTCTTGAGTTAGACGGGACTGCCCATTAACCCACTTTGTCCTGGACGCGGTTAAAGGTGCAGCCCTACAACTACTCGTCCGTGCCCCTGCTCTCGGAAGGGTTTTCTCAAGAGTCCCTCTAGAGGAGGGGCTTTTGAGCAACATGCGGCTCTTTAAGAACTACAGTGCGGTTCTTGAAATTCGAAACAAAATAGCTCTTCTAGTTATTTTAGGTTGCCGACCTCTGACCCTGGAAGTTCACTTTACCATGGAAGTCCACTTTGCCAAGAAGTTCACTTTACCAATGAAGTTCACTTACCATGGAAGTCCAGTTTACCATGGCAGTTCACTTTACCATGGAAGTCCAGTTTTACATGGAAGTTCACTTACCAATGAAGTTCACTTACCATGGAAGTCCACTTTACCATGGAAGTTCACTTACCATGGAAGTCCAGTTTACCATGGAAGTGCAGTTTGCCATGGCAGTTCACTTTACCATGGAAGTCCAGTTTTACATGGAAGTTCACTTTACCATGGAAGTCCAGTTTTACATGGAAGTTCACTTTACCATGGCAGTCCACTTTACCATGGCTAGGGAACGGCAAACTGCGATTCCGGAGCCACATGCGGCTCATGAAGGAGTTGCTTCGTGACAGTTATTTATGAAGGACCACCGTCTCGTACCCGCGTGCATTGTGGCTCTTGAAATATTGAGATTTATTTGACCGAATTAGAAACATAAATTGCTCTTATGTTGTTTTTGTCCCTGAGCCCCGCTCTAAAAGGGTGTTTCGACCTCACTCGTTCACACTGGCCAGACATCTTTGAAGAGATGGGTGTACCCACACTTTCACCCCACCACGCATGACCTGCCCCAATCGGCTAACTGCGGCGAACCCATTTACACTGGTGGGTGGACAGAGGCGAGAGACTTTAAGAAGCTTTTGTGTCAAAACAAAGGGCACTTCTGATTAGCACAGTTGGCTACGTACGGTGCGAAAGAAGTCCAACATACATACATACGTGAATGTGCATAGGCAATTGCAAGCGGGTTGCCACATCTCAAGCCCCGCGTAAGAACACTGCTGGAATCACGTCACTACGCATTATGCAGCATGCTTTGGCAATCCCTTACGTAAATTAGGGGCAGGCTCGTAATAGCAGGAGCAGTGGCAATCTGACAAATAGTGGCAGTTGCAGTATGGCTGGAATCTAGCTCAGCTGGTAATCCGCAAAGAATTAATCCGACATCGAGATTCGCATCCTGGCTTTGTAAAAAAAAACGAACAGCAGCATCCTGGTGAGCACCGATTGGTGGTAAGTCAACAAAGGCTACCTGATGGGAGAAAAAAAATCAGGGGGTGCCATAATCACATAAATATTGCGCAAGAGCCTCGGAAGCATCAACTGATGTATAATTGCCAACCGTAGCTCATTACAGCATGGAAACCCTTCGACTTGGTGTGGTGGCAGCGGGTTGTAGCAGTGTTAGTACGAAGCAGCGATAGCCCAATCAGCATAAATAGCGAAATTGATGAGTTGAGTCTTGATTTGAAGCTTTCGTGACTGCAGGAATCCATACTCTTTGGTTCTTTGGGTAAAGTCACGTAGGTAGAAATAAAATAAATCACGACGTTTTGATCGCAACACAAGCAATCTTCATCAGGTGGAACAACCACAGCAAGAAAATGCTGAAGCAGGCGAGAGAGCTGCCGTGGCAAGAGGTTACATAGGGAGAGAGAGGGGGGGCTGTAGGGTAGGGGAAGGGGGGGTCTGCGTGAGCGCTAGGGGAAGAGGACGTGAGGCTGGGGGGGGGAAGGGGAAGTTGGCGGGGCTAGAAGTGAGAAGCTGCGTGTGGGGCACGGGGGAAAAAAATAAAATGTGAGAGTAAACCGGCAGGCACGATGGAAACAACCACAACCAGTTAAGGCATTACCTGGTTATGATTGTTCAATTTCTATCCATCTTCTCGGTTGAAGTCATGTCTATGTTTATATATCTGGTTGAGTTGAGTCTGTCGCCAAAAATGTAAAAATGTTGTGCACGACTTGGTGACTAGAGGTCGACCGATTCCCGATGCCGGTGATTCCATGAAATCTGAAGATTCAGGATTATGATTCTATAAGAGAATATACTATTTGCTTACATTGTGTGATTACGACTTTCCCTACTAGTGGCCGTAGGGGTCACATAAACCCCTAAAATACAACATGGAAAAAAACACAATACTTTTAACATATGCGATTCCAATGCATGCATATTGTGAGCTTATGAACTGAGATTGATGAATCGAGGCACAGTTACATGGACATTCGACACATACATGTGGACAAAGAAAATGCGACAAAAGCTTAAACGTGGAGAGATGCGTGCGCACTGCACTGAGACATAGTAAGGAGATCACATTCATTAATTACAGAATGCAAATCAAAGATACCTTATCGACGATTAAACAAAGTAACTGAACTTGGACAGGACACATTGTCCTGCTAACAGTTAAAAATCACGCTGTCGAAGTACGTTACGAAAGAAGTTCAACATACACAGACACACTTACGAATGGCGACGGTGCTGGACCCTTCACGTCCCGCGCACGCACGCACGCACTCACTCACCTGCTCGGGGTACTTGCTGCCCACGATCTCGGCCACCGTGTTGTAGGAGTCGGCGTCGGGCAGCGAGCGAGCCTCCATGGCAAGCGTGACGCGCACCCGCCAGCCGCGCGCCGCCATGCGCGCCATCATCTCGGCGTCCTCCACGGCCACGCACGCCGCCGGGATCTGGGCAACGCCCGCCTCGTACTCCTGGATGCCCGTGTGGGGACTGCCGGGGGGTGGATGGGCCCCGATGGACGATAACGTTGGCATGGTTTGTGAATGAGATGCAGCATTAGCTTTGTCCGTCCGTAACAGTGGGGCATGATTCCATACCTGTCGTAAAGAATATTGAATATGAACAAAATTTTAGCGGAGAGTTTTGTTGCCATTCGAGATTGACCCTCTAGAAAACTGGCCAAATTGATCAAAGGACTACGCAAAAAGCAGCACAAATAATAGGGTTCACAAAATCAGCGCTAAAAGGAAGTCCACGCCTCTCTTCCACCTCCCGATGACGTCATTGCGCAACACCATCTCGCGCGTAACATCATCTCATTGCGTGAACTGAAATTCGATGTTTTTACTGACAATTAAATACTTCCGAGGACAAACGCACGTGGGAAAGCATCACAGCATCCATGCACGTGTGTGATTATTCTCGCGTAACTACTCGCATTTTCCCCGATTGTATTTAAATAGTGCCCAAGGCAGTCTAACATGGGACAAAATATGTGTACGAGACCTGAGTTTAAGTGACCACTTGGAAGTCTTGCGGGGCATCGCATCAACTCGTGTATTAGAAAGTAGCCGCCTTTGGAAGCATTCATCTTGGAACTAATTCTGAGATTCTAGATTTGAAGCTTTCGTGACTGCAAGGATTCATACTCTTATGTTTTTTCGGTAAAGTCACGTAGGTAAAAATTAAAAGTTAATAAAAGTAATAATGGAAATAAAATACAATAATAAATCACAACGTTTCGGAGGCAACACAAGTCTCCGTCATCAGGTGGGACCGTCACAGCTAAAATTACTTTTAATTTTATCTCTTACCTACGTGACTTTACCGAAAAAACCTAAGAGTATAATTCTGAGATCCTAGAACATTACGTTTTAATATTTGCACACTGTGGTGTAAATTTTCCCACGTAACCCTGCTACAGAGAAATGTTCCCGTGGCAGTCAAACTAACATGCTGTTAATTCCCATAGCTAAAATGTAACACAATTAAGTGAAAAAATCAATTCAATAAGGTTTTAATGCTTAATTTGGAGCTTTCGTGACTGCAGGAATTACACTGTGTCAGCCGTGTGTTGCAATCGAAACGTCGTATGCGGTATTTAATTATTTTCTCTTTATACGTGACTTTACCGAAAGAACCAAAGAGTAAGGTTTTAATGGTCCAATCATTATCGAGTGGGCTAACACTATGAACTCACCACGCCTGTGAATCCTTTATAACAGACGTGGTTGCCCGGAATTCAACCCAGGCTGGCTCAGAGGTCTGACCTCTCACCTCAGAATTTGTAACCACTTTCAGAATACAGAACATGGAATACTCATTATCAGCAACAGCAGCAGCCATCGTTATCATCACCAGCAACCAACGGTGCTGTTTGTTTCTGGCCGCTTGGCGTTCTTGGGTCTCCGAGCCTGTGCTCAGCAACTGTGAGATCTTTTCGATTTAAAGCTTTCGTGACTGCAGGGATTCATCTTCTTGGTTCTTTCGGTAAAGTCACGTAGAAGGGAAATAATAAAATAATAAAAATAAAACATAATAAAATAATTATCATGACGTTTCGGCCACAACACAAGCAGCCGTCCTCAGGTGAAGAACAGGTCTGTCGGAAAGACAGACCTGTTCTTCACTTGAGGACGGCTGCTTGCGTTGTCTGTCTTTCCGACAGACCTGTTTTTGACCTGAGGACGGCTGCTTGCGTTGTGGCCGAAATGTCGTGAGAATTATTTTATTATGTTTTATTTTTATTATTTTATTATTTCCCTTCTACGTGACTTTATCGAAAGAACCATGAAGAAAAAAACTGTGACATCGTTTTTTTTTTAAGCCAACGTTGGATGAGGACCATCGCACACCATCGCCAGCTCTCATGGTTCTGGAAAACTCAACTTAATCGTTGCTGTTGACGGCTCCGAGTCTGCGACAGGCACTCCACATTTCTTTACCAGCAGAAGTGGGTAGACTTACCGATGGCATGATAAAGCGTGGTAAAATTACATTCGAAATCATTAACTGTAAGCCAAGAATAGATTATGCCAGTTGGTGAGAGGTTGAAACGGTGACTAAAGTATTATCCAATTACTTAGTAACCACTGCGAGGCAGTGCAGGAGAAATGCTGATGAGTCAAAGTAAATGAAGAAAATAATGCTTCTGTTTTTGCTTTAAAAAAACCCCTGTGCATTCGTACACACTCATCAATATATAAGTAAATGTAAAATTCAAACATTCTAAAACTGGAATGAAAAAAATTACGTATTGATGTTTTAGCAAAATAAAAAAAATAAAACCAAGTCTCAATGCCTGGAGCTTCGCACGATGATTATTATTAATGAACAGAAAACTAAAGATAAATATTTGAGTTTCTTTCAAACAAAAATCTAAAAAACAAAGTTCTGTTCGAGTGCCCATCTCTCAACTGGTATGCGCTCTTGGCTTTAATCGTAATTATTTTCTGTCAGTGTGTCAGCCGTGCGGTCACAAGAATAAACACGCACTTTTCCAGGTCAGAGGTTCAAGAGAAACGCAATTAAACTGTGCACTGCAGACAGCGAATTTAAATTAACTCATCTGGTCACATTTGGCAAAGGAAGTTTGTATAAACTTCCCATTACGGTGACCGAGCTGTAACCTTCAGCTCACTACACATTGAAAACTGTCGTGCATAAATATATATGTAATATAAACAGCTCTTTGATTGGTGGAGACCTACTGCCGGGTACAGAGAAGGGAGGGGCCTAAGGGAAGGGGGTTCAGGGGAGGGGCCTAAGCAAGGGGGAGGGGCCGATAGTTAAGGTGGCTGGCTACCTGGCTGGCTGCCTGGCTACCTCAAGTCACGTGATCTTGTACACAGGTAGGAACAACAGGTTCCACACTGCCCACCAGGGATTATTTGTCTGTCTGTCGTGCATATTTGTCTGTCGTGCACGAATGCGCTGTCCGACCAAGTTCCTACCTGCCCACTCCGAAGGAACGTGTTTAAGTCACAGGTGGTAGAGGCCACAATTTGAGCCCACGATCCCAGCTGTGCCAGCTCAGTGCGCTGATCCCTGGGCACACTTGCGGCACCTCAAAATAAATAATGGCATTCTTGTCTCACAAAACTCTGACCACCATTCCATATCAATTACGCCATTACAAATCAATTGGATGGGGGCGCTATCCGTGAGATATGAAAAATTTAGCAAAATGTGGAACGTATCTGTCATGGGCATTCACCCCCAGTGACGAGACTTACCTCTAGATAGACAACAACCCAGTCAACTACAAACAGCTGCACTCCACATTCCAGCGTGAGTGAAAATAATAAGTAAGATCTCTTTGAGAAGGTGGTCCTTATGAGCCGCCAACAGACACACCACCCACAGTGCCAAGGTGTTGCTTTAACATCCGAGCAGAACCACGATAAAGCACAGGACCCATGGGCAAACCTGTGGATGGAGAATGGCGTGACGGAACGGATGAGCACAGCGACGGCTCCAAACTTGGCCGCCTCGCTGGCCCCTACGCCGCGATACTTGACGGTCTCCCCGTAGCTCACGTAGGGTTCGTTGTAAACGACGATCTTGCCCTTGGCTGCTGTGCCCAGTTTCCGCAGCTCATCAAAGGAGCTCACCACGAGAACATCCGCTGTCGTGCCTGCCGCCACAACAACGGCAAGAGCGCGAGCGTGAGCTTTTGTCGCAGAATACACGGCCGGCAGCCCACGCTCCTCCCAGCGCTGGCGTCTCTACGACAAGTGCAGGTTCATACCGATGACATCTATTGATAGCTGTACGTAATGGAATTGTAGACGATTATTTGCGAACCGATTTAAAATGAATCATGCCTGTCACAGAGAAAACCGCAGTCTAATAAAATAACTGGCGGTTTCCCTCTGCAGTGCAGTCAGTGGAGTTGTACAGCCGTGAGCAGGAAAGGCTCAGTGTGTTCAGATTAAACTGAGTTGTCATTTACCACTGTGAGCCAAATGTCTAAATCAGGGTTCTTCAACTGGTGGTCCACAGGGGGAGGTTTTGTGGTGGACCACTGAGGTATGGCCCACTGAGAGCTATGGCTCGTTGATACATCCTGATAAAAAATAACGAGATTAACGTAAGGTAACAAGAAATGAAAGACCTGGCGACAAAAGGAACAGATTAGTGGTCACACTTACGAAGGTTATGACGTCTCAATGCCACGTGACATCGCGTGGTCTGCCACTACATGCCAGATTCATTGTGTGGCCAACTGTAAATGATAGTTTAAAGAACACTGGCCTCATCTATTCAGAGGATTTGGATGCTGCAACAGTATCATTATTCTCAAAGAGCCATTTACTACCGCTCATGAATGAAGCGCTCCGCATGTATGTATGTATGTTGAACTAGTTTTCCACCGTAAGTATCAAACCGTGCTAATCGGAGGTGCGGGGGAAGGACAAAAGCATCAGCACTTCCATCACCCAGTCGCATGCAAGCAGCGCACACACACACGAAAAAAACATGTCCACCTCCTGGCGGTGTGCCGACGCTCCCGCCGAGTCCCAGGATGGCCAGGCTGTGATTGCGAGGCTCGATCATGGTGGCCGATTCCCGGCCGCGAACCCAGTGCGGGACCTTGGCCGCCTCCGGGTGCACGTTCTCCAGACCGTCGTCCCGCAGTGCGGACAGCATGTACGCGATGGCCTGCTCCAGCGCCTTGGAGCCACTTATCTGTGGAATCGGCATAAACAAGTTGCCATCATCACGACGTAGTGTTTATACCCTCGCCTCCCAGTACACGCCAAGGCACGCTGTGGCATGGGAGCTCCTGATGGCAGCTGACCCTACAAAGCACAAGGAGGATGCAATGCTGAACAGTAGTCTGTCTTTCGGGGGTGTTCAGAATCAGAATATTTATTTATACTGGAGGAATCTGATAGGCTATGAAGCTCTTTTTGAATTTGAAGTGCAGTGGTGGCATCAGCATCTTCCGGGGGTCCACCAGTGGCCCCCACTTCACTTTGTTCCTCCCCATAGAGAACTCGGTCCGCTGTGGCCAGTCCCGCCTATGGTAGTGCGCCTTGGTGTCTAAATCTTTTTTTTTCTGACTTTACGTGAACGAAAAGACACAAATTTGCCCGTTTTCTTATTGAAAATAGGTAAATTTCCAAATATCACTGTCCTGGTTACAAAAGCAAAGTTTGTGGGGAATAATAGCCATTTTTTTTACTTTTGAGGCATAAGCAATGAGGAAATAACACTTACTACCCAGGAACAAAAAAAATTGTTACACAGTGTAATCGGAGGTACACGCCGCATGATTGCGACAAAAGCCAAAAATATCCAGGGACAGGCATGCTGTAACATGTGTTCAGAAATCCAATATCAGCATTGGAAAGAGTTAGTTATCCATTTATTACATTTTTGTCCAAAAAAGCCCAAGGGAACAGTCGTTTCTTTTGTTCTTACCAATGTCGAGCAACACTGGCGTGCGTGTTTATTAAAATACAATCAAGTCTGAAGATGTACAGGAACCACACGCATACAAAGAGACAGCGTCTGTTTTACGGGCCGTAATAACAAATCACAGCTCGAATACACAACCACATGAGACGCAAACTTCAGACTCTGTGATCTCATTGGAGACGAACCGTCTCGTTTTTAATAAACGAGACAGATCGGCGATCCCCTACGCTGTAATTGCACCAGAGTCTTTCATTCTCAGCCGAAGACTTCATTGGGGTTTTTCTGGGCTGCCTGTGACCTGCTTTTGCTGCCACTTGCACTTTCCACTGGCACATTCAAGGCAAGCCAACGCAGAGCTCTCATGGTACACGGGTAGTTCTTCACTGGCTACTTGCCGAGTCGGGCCAAGCAGGGTCAGGGGTGGGGCTGATGACATATTTCATGAGCCTGGCATCATCACACATGAGAAACATTAACACGGCATCCAGCTAGCTTGAGGTGTTGGGTTATCAGTGTATGTTAACTCAAATCGCATCACCGCGTCATCAGCATGCGTCTCGCGACGCATGCTGATGACATCTCTCTACACGGTAGCGATATGTTAACTACCTCGCCTGGTATACAGGAGTTTGTGGGTTTGATCCTGACCCGGACGCTTGCATATGCGGAGTTTGCGTGTTCTCCCCGTGGTCGTGTAGAGTTTTCTCCGGGTTCTCCGGTTTTTCCCTCCACATTTTAAAACATGCGTTTAGAGTATTTGGCCGCTTTAAATTTCCACGCGATAAGCCACTTTGTTGAGCTATTATTTGTGGCCAGGTCGCTTCTGAAAGAGAGCTAATAGCTCAGTGGGCCTTGCCTGGTAAATAAAAAAAATAGTATGTAGGTTTATAGTTTACAATGTGTGTGTGACGTCAGCGGCACGGCTTGGCTTCTGCAGTGGAAAAAAAACCCGCGCCTAGAGCAGCATGGCAACGGTACGGCTAGAATGTGCCTGTTTAAAAGGGGTACACAATACCTTCCACGCACGCTTACCCGATTGCCGATCTTGTCGGTGAAGAGGGCAAGGCGCTCGTAGGAACGATTCTGCGCTGCACCGTGCACGGCCAGGTCGATGATCTGCGATGCGATGCCCGAATGTGCCGCAACGTCCTGCCGCATCCGCTGGACCTTGTGCAGGAGCTCACTGCCGGCTGCAGGGATGCCACGGCCCTCCACGGCCAGACGAGGCCACAGCCCCACGGCCATTGCTGCCACCACCAGCACCACCAGCGATGGCATTATCCTGCAATCAGTCAGTCAATCAGTATGTTGAACTTCTGTCGCACTGTACCTAGCCAACTTTGGTCATCGGAGGTGCGGGGGCAGGGAGCGACAATAAGCTAAACACAAAAAACAGTGCAAACGTATCGAAATGTGCAAGCGTGTGCGTCATCACAACAGGACGGGTGCTACCGGCAGATCTTGTTATCCACACCTATTCCTGTCCAAGCAGTGAGAATATTAGTTGGGTAGATCGAAAGAGTATTGAGGAAGCTCCAGAGCAGGTTATCCATGAAAGGGAAATTATGTGGATGGACACATCCGCAGAGGTTAAAGCTCGATAAAGGAAGTTCTGGAAGTTGGGAAAGAGGCAGAACAAGATTAATATTGCTTCATAGCTTGAGGGGGGGGGGGGGGGGGGGGTGGGTAGCGAGTAGGGTGTATAGTGAAATGAAGAAGCACGCAACAAGATCAGACAACATTGAGGGGAGCTTGAGTCAAAGACCTACTATTGGGCAGAGGAATCAAGAAAATGCGTGGTCACAATTGGATTATTGTAAATTAGATGGATTCTAAATTGCAAGAAAGAGAAAGGCAAAATAGAATTAAGTTAGTGCCTGCATTGATGCTTTCTATGTGAGCCTCTTACCTGCGGATAAATGCAGATCAAATTATTGATTTACTGCCAAACTTCCACGTTTTGTTAAAAAGCCAGATTATGTCACAAAAACTGGGTCACGTTGAAGATGTTTTTGTCAATTCATCTGTTGTCCAAAACATCTGGGCTGGAAGTAGTATCCAGGCGAATACTACTTATTAATATGCAGTAATACATATTTACTATTTGTTTAAAAAGATCATTAGCAACATTTCATGTTCCATTTTAGAGTAATATGGCTTTGGTGCAAGTTTTATTCCAGTTTTAAGAATTACAAGATTCAGAAATACAACTCTTTTGTCGATAACACTGCCTTACAAAGGGGGGGGGGGGGGGTAAATAAAATAGGTGGCGTTTCTGGTAACAGCCCTTTTGCTCTAATATCAAAGAGATTCAGTAATAATTAAGCTGCAAAATGTAAACCAAAAAAAATTACCACTGAGAAATCAAATCCAGCAGTGCCAACCAACGAGCAAGGAAAACACACACGCCGCTTTGACAGAGTGTCTTTGTAGGTTAACCCAAAGACTGCCCACAAGAGGCCCTAATGATACGTGACAAACATGAAGGCGAATTATTTATGTAAGAACTAATTTGTAAAAAAAAAAAATCCTGAAAATAAACACAAGTAAACGATTTGACCGCCGTGACGCACTTTGCTCAATGTGGCCAAGTCAAAGTATATATTTTTTTACAAATTAACAGAGGCATTCAGTTGTCTGCCAACTATGTTTTTCTTACATGTACATGTTGCAGCACTTAGTGCAATCCACAATCCACTGCTGGCTAAAGCCCTGATCCGAACCCCCTTTGGGTAACGGATATTCATTTGACCATACTTCACCACCACCACGCTGGCTTAGTGTGGGAGCACAGAAGAGGGGAGCACAGATGTGCAGTACAACATATTTTTCTGCACTGCCCTCTTGGATAGCTCTGATGCATACTAGTCATGAATCCATAGCACTACGTTTTCCCATGGTGATGTAACGATTGCCTCCACCACGACTGCCTCCAGATATGATTTAGGAATCAATTAATTTTTATCACATTATGCATGTCGTGGCCTCTTGGGTCTGCCGAGCATAACGTCTCGATAGCACTTTCATCAATTAGTTAGGTAGTCTGTGTGCCTTCAACAGAACGAAAGCAAAACTACCCAAGCTCTCTCTCTCCTGAAGAAAGCCCTCTCCTCATGGCTAGCAGAGATCGGGCATTGGCACACAGCTCCTGAATATATCGCCATGAGCAAGAAGAACGTAAATACGGATAGAGACCCACAGAGATGCACAGATATACATTGATAATAATTCATAGAGACCTGTAGAGACACAAAGATACTCAGACACACAGAGATGCATTTGAGAGACAAGCCAGTCGTGCGTTTGTTGTCATGCAACCCAAAAAGTATGGAGAGACCCAAATAGATACAGAGACCCATATCATATCATAAAGTTCAAAGTTCATTTATTAGGTATAGCCCTGTGAGCCATTCGGCTCTTGAATCGGGTGCAACCGCAACAAACAAAAAACGAAAACATGAACAAGAAAACATCTTCAAGTGACTACTGTATGTGCAAACAGAAAATCCAAGAAAAGACAGCAAAATATTGCAGAAAAATCACCGGTACACCAACCCTGTGCAAATATCCCAGTGGGATGTAAGTCAAACAACAACAACCACAAGACAACTTAGATTAAGGCCAGATACATAGAGCCCGATAGACACAGTTACATAGAGACACACAGAGGCAGAGATGGATTAGAGACAAGCAACATTAGTGCGACTGACTGCAAGCCAAACTATGGACCAAACACGAAACCACTCAAGTCTCGTGTCGTTTTGATTATTCCGCAGAGGCGGAATAGGAAAACGACACGAACTCTCCTCTCCCTTAAAGTCTTCTCGACGTGGCCAGTAGACCTTCTAAATTAGCATTTCACTCCCGAACAGTAATATTGCCATCATACGCAAGAAGATAACACTGGTCAACAAAAAAAAAACATTTTTTTCTGGCCTGGACTTTTGCAGCTGTTCTAGACTAATTTCAGGGTGCTGATTCCAAATGTGATCTCAGATTTGCTCTATCACATCTCATTTTTATGCTTCTCGGCATACCCCATTTTCATTGATTTTACCCGAAATTAACTCTGTCACTTATGATTGCAAGTTGTTGCGAGTCAGTGACTGCTTTAGTGTTAAAATGTGGTGCTGTATTTTTAGGATAGTGTGTTTATAATATCATTTTATGTAGATATCCACATTCATTTAATATTTTTCTTCTGCAGTTTTTATTGAAAATGCAATATTTGATATCTCAAAAACCTGATGTGATAGACAAAAACTGATGCCAGATTTGGAATCAGCACCCCAAAATGACCTTATATCCGTTGGAATACCTTATGCCAGAAAAAGTGTGTTGACCAGTGTATAATCGATGAGTCGATGTAGCATTCTTACAATAGACACATTATCCTCCGTGTCGCCTGCAATAGACTGATGGGGCAAGTGCTGTTAGCGAGCACCTATGAAGGCCGGCAAAGTACACGAATTGGGGGGGGGGAGGCAACACCACGCCCGGCCGCCTTTGTCTCCCCGGTGTCGATGTTTACACACCGCAGAGGGAACTCATTTTGAGGCTGAGTCGACCTAGGGGAGGCCCAGGAACGGTTCAGAAAATCGTCACTGGGTGTTGGCCGTGAACGGGAATCGAACTCGGGTGTCCAGGTCAGTAGCGCAGCGCGCTGACCGCTACATTACCGGCTCCCCATGTGCTACAGCAAAGACAAAGATCCCCCGTATAGCCTGTCACGTACACAAGCAGTACAGTACACACACAGTACAGTACACACACACAAGCAGTACAGTACACACAGTACAGTACACACACACAAGCAGTACAGTACACATACAGTACAGTACAGTACACACAAGTAGTACAGTACATATACTAGCTGTACAGTACACACATGCAGTACACACACAAGCAGTACAGTACACACACAAGCAGCACAGTACACACACGCAGTACAGTACGTACACAAGCAGTACAGTACACACACAAGCAGTACAGTACACACACGCACCGAGACACTTTGGCCGTGCGTTGCAAGCGCGGAACAAGGAGGAGGAGGAAGTCTGAGACGCCGAAGAGACGACCCGGCAGCCCCAGCGGCAGGAGCAGCTGATGGGGAACTTTGTTCTCACGTAGCAGCGATGCCAGTACACGGGGTAGGCCCCAGATGTCTCGTGACCCCCCTCCCTCCACTCCCCCCTCCCCTCCCTCCACTCCCCCCTCCCCTCCCCCCTCCACTCCCTCCCCTCCCCCCTCCCTCCACTCCCTCCCCTCCCCCCTCCACCCTCCCTCCCCCCTCCACTCCCCCCTCCCCTCCCTCCACTTCCCCCTCCTCTCCACCCCCTCCCTCCCCCCTCCACTCCCCCCTCCCTCCCCTCCCTCCTCCCTCCCTTCTACTTCCCTCCCTCCCTCCACTCCCTCCCTCCCCTCCACTCCCTCCATTCCCCCCTCCCCTCCCCCCTCCACCCCCTCCCCTCCCCCCTCCCTCCACTCCCTCCCCTCCCCCCTCCACCCTCCCTCCCCCCTCCACTCCCCCCTCCCCTCCCTCCACTTCCCCCTCCTCTCCACCCCCTCCCTCCCCCCTCCACTCCCCCCTCCCTCCCCTCCCTCCTCCCTCCCTTCTACTTCCCTCCCTCCCTCCACTCCCTCCCTCCCCTCCACTCCCTCCACTCCCCCCTCCCTCCACACCCCCCTCCCTCCCCCCCTCCACTCCCCCCTCCCCTCCCCTCCTTCCCTCCACTCCCCCCCTCCCCTCCCCTCCCTCCACTCCTCCCTCCACTCCCCCCTCCACCCCCCCTCCCCTCCCCTCCTCCCCCCGCTCCCCTCCCTCCACTCCCCCCTCCCCTCCCTCCACTCCCCCCTCCCCTCCCCCCTCCACTCCCCCCTCCACTCCCTCCACTTCCTCCACTCCCCCCTCCCCTCCCCCCTCCACCCCCTCCCCTCCCCCCTCCCTCCACTCCCTCCCCTCCCCCCTCCACCCTCCCTCCCCCCTCCACTCCCCCCTCCCCTCCCTCCACTTCCCCCTCCTCTCCACCCCCTCCCTCCCCCCTCCACTCCCCCCTCCCTCCCCTCCCTCCTCCCTCCCTTCTACTTCCCTCCCTCCCTCCACTCCCTCCCTCCCCTCCACTCCCTCCACTCCCCCCTCCCTCCACACCCCCCTCCCTCCCCCCCTCCACTCCCCCCTCCCCTCCCCTCCTTCCCTCCACTCCCCCCCTCCCCTCCCCTCCCTCCACTCCTCCCTCCACTCCCCCCTCCACCCCCCCTCCCCTCCCCTCCTCCCCCCGCTCCCCTCCCTCCACTTCCCCCTCCCCTCGCTCCACCTCCCCCTCCCCTCCCTCCACCCCCCCCCTTCCCTCCCTCCACCCCCCCTCCCCTCCCTCCACCCCCCCCTCCCTCCACCCCCCCCTCCCCTCCCTCCACTCCCCCCTCCCCTCCACTCCCCCCTCCCCTCCCTCCACTCCCCCCTCCACTCCCTCCACTCCCCCCTCCCCTCCCTCCACTCCCCCCTCCCTCCACTCCACTCCCCCCTCCCCTCCCCCCTCCACTCCCTCCACTCCCCCTTCCCTTCCCCCTCCCTCCCCTCCCCTCCCTCCACTCCCCCCTCCCCTCCCTCCACTCCTTTCCCTCCCCTCCCTCCACTCCCTCCCATCCCTCTCTCGACTCCCTCCCCCCTCCCCCCGTTTATTATATAAAACTTAATTTCTATATATTTTTTCGTATGTCAATGGGTGTGAAAACAGAAAGGAATAAGCCAAGGAACAACAAACATTTTTTTAGGGGCCGATTCAGACATCACTCACCGCCGATTGCTCACCAAGACAGTTTCAGTTTATTTGGTATAGCCCTGTGAGCCATTCGGCTCTTGGATCGGGTGCAACAAAACAAAAAACAAAAACATGAACAAGTAAACATCTTAAGGTGACTATGCGCAAACAGAAAAATCCAGGAAAAAACTGCAAAGTCTTCCAGAAAAAGCACCGTACACCAACGCTGTGTGCAAACATCCCAGTGGGATGCAAGTCTGCAAGTCAAACAACAACAACCACAAGACCTGCTGCGAAGGATGGCTGATGGAGGCAACACATGAAGCGAGTGCGGGGCCTGTAGTATATTTTTGTTACAAAGGGGTCCTAAATTAAAAAAACACGTAAATATTAAAACGCATTTTGTAACTCGCACAGTAAAGCAACTGTATTTTTTTTGCTATACAGCCAGGTAATACGACAAATCGCTAACCTTAAACACCCAGTCGTTCATAAAAGTTGAAGGCAGCATAGTACTATAGTAACAGAGCAAGTGCAGATTCACTGAACCGAAATGGATAGCTTGAAAGTGCGGGGACCGTAGCATATGTAGCTACTTGTGCGACTAGGATAATCCGGCACTGGCAACACAGGAAGGTGCTCGAGGGAAGAGCAAGATCATGATCCGAATTGACATCAAATATCAAACAATGCAACAATGGGATGGACGCTGTCCCAGGTGAAAAACGCAGCGACGGACGGAGAGAAGTGCAGAGTGACCGCCGGTGAAGGAAATCAATTATGACGTCTCGACGCCTGTGAAATTGCGTGGTCTGCCAGTACATGCCAGATTCATTATGTGGCCACACTGAAAATGATAGTTTAAGAACCCCTGGCCTCAAATATCCCTCACAAAGGTCAAGAGACTAGAAGAAGAAGAAAGATGATGAGCCTGGGTTGACTGCCCAACAATTTTAATTCACAAAAGTAGAATTAACGCAGACGCGCGTGCACGGTACACAACGCTTAACGTGAAATGTGCACAGTCGGTAAAACCCACGACAGCGTAACGTCGCCTGGAAATGGGATTTTCCCCTTTGACCCTTGTCTTCCCACTTTAAATTCCGCTCCATAGAGTTTCATTAGCTGCACACCATGCAACCGCCATGCAGGCTGCGAGCCAGGGAGCTATTGTCATCATTAATAGGGCACCGAGAGCACGGTGAAACATAATTGGCTGTTATTAGATTACAATAAAAAAAACCGATGTATATAGCGTCGAAATGCAACCTTATCTGAAGACGCTTTATAGAAACGGGCCGATTTATTTTATAGACAAGCGTAGATTCAGGATAATAAAAAAAGTAAAGTCTTGAGCCAGCATTTGAACAGGGACTGGGGGATTCAACATCATGGATATCTGGGGGGAATTGAGTTGCAGATATAGAGACAGCAGAGGAGAATGAGTGACCTCCCACTGAGTGAAGGTTGTCTGCAGCTTTTGACGGATAGATTCATTGTTGGAGTGAGGAGGAGGAGATAAAGGGGAGTAGGAGCGAAATGACGTGAGATGTAGTCAGGGGTTCAACCATGCATGGCGCTGTCAAAGGAGAGATGGAGTGCCCTATGGTGTCAAAAGTAGCAGAAAGGTCTAAAAGAACCAGGAGTGAGAGTGATCCATGATTTTGCAATTTCTCACAAGCAAGAAAGCTGATTCAGGTAAATTACATTGGTGGATCTTCTTGGTTCTTTCGGTAAAGTCACGTAGAATGGAAATAATAAAATAATGAAAATAAAACATAATAAAATAATTCTCACGACGTTTCGGCCACAACGCAAGCAGCCGTCCTCAGGTGAAGAACAGGTCTGTCGGGAAGACAGGTCTGTCGGGAAGACAGCGTCGGGAAGACAGCCCCATTCAGACGCTGTCTTCCCGACAGACCTGTTCTTCACCTGAGGACGGCTGCTTGCGTTGTGGCCGAAACGTCGTGAGAATTATTTTATGATGTTTTATTTTTATTATTTTATTATTTCCCTTCTACGTGACTTTACCGAAAGAACCAAGAAGATGAATCCCTGCAGTCACGAAAGCTTTAAATCGAGACCTTGGTGGAATTCAGATTGAATTGGGTTGCGGTCATCATGAAAGGAACGGTCTTTAAATAGATATAAATGAGATAACCTTTTCTCGGACTTTTGTGTTGAAATGGAGGCTTGAGATAGGATGGACACTTGCAGAGTGTGGATTTTTTCAGGATGAGAGCTACAGAAGCAATTATTGAGAACTAAGGAAACGGTACAACTGGATTGATGAATTTAATAATGTACCATGCTAGTGTGGGCAACAGTGAGGTATGAGTGTGGAGGGTAGAAGATCGAGGATAGAAGAATATTTTTTTTTAGCTTGAGGTGGTTTTAGTGATTTAAGTAATGAAATCTTGTTCTTTGGGTCTTTCGGTAAAGTCATGTAGATAGGTTCAAATCAATACAAATGAATATAAAATGAACAAAAATCTACGACGTTTCGATCACAACACAAGCGATCGTCATCAGGAGGAAAAGAGGGGGAAATCTGCAGACTGTTTTAAAGGTTTAAGTCAAGATTTCATGAAATCCTGATTTTTATACTTAAAAATACGTTGAAATATTAGTATATATTAATTACCCAATATTGGAATTCTGTGTTTTTAATATTTACTTTAGTTTCACTATATATAGTGTATATGTGTAATTTCAAAGTTGTGAAATGCGCACCCAGACCTTAAATATATTTTCTAAAATGTCTAACATACTGGACATCATCCAGAGGCAAAACATTGCCTCACATACTCTTTAGTTTTTTCGGTAAAGTCACGTAGGTTATAAAATAAAATAAATCACGACGTTTCGGGCGCAACACAAGCGTCCATCATCTGGTGGGAAAGCTTGGTGTGCTGCTGATGCAGACTGTTTAAAAAAAACTGTTTTAAAAACCAGTCTGCATCAGCAGCAGACCATGCTCTCCCACCTGATGACGGACGCTTGTGTTGCGCCCGAAACGTCGTGATTTATTTTATTTCTACCTACGTGACTTTACCGAAAGAACCAAAGAGTATGGATTCCTGCAGTCACGAAAGCTTCAAATCAAGATTGCCTCACATTTCCTCGCAGTTCTGTCCAGAGGCATTTATGAAAACTCTGCATGAATGCACCTGGTCCAAAATTTTCTAACAAATTGAAAAAAAACCGAATTAGATCTCAGCACTTACATCTAAAGACGTTTTTAAAGACTTAGGCTCCTGCGGTATTGCGATTAATTAGCTATTAAAATTATCACTTGCACCTCTGAGACTCTCTGCTGTCTAGCAATATGCTCACTGAGCAGTGAAAAATAATATGAAATTAAATATTTCTCTTGCACCCTACTTTAATGAGGCTGGAAATGGAGCAAACTCCCTCACGTGTCATAAGGTTGGCAACAACAGTCGAAATCTAATTGGGAGAAAAAATAAATGTCACAGTGTATATTGTCAACAGCAGATGCATTCTCCTCTCTAGCCATCACTTTGCATATTGAAGTAACATTGTTGACTGGTAGAAAACATATAACTGGCAGAGAATACATATAAATTACTATAAATTGTTGGCATCATAAATGCCAGTGAAAACTCCTGGCAAGCATTAAAGTAACGGTGAATCTCTTTTTTGCCACTTTCTATGTAATGATCTAGTCCATCATGAAGGATTCTTAAAATCTTGACAAATGCTTTGGCACATGATGAAGGTTCAATAAAAAAAGTATGAACTCTTATCTATTATATCTTCAAAAGTGTTTATTGCTGGTGACTTGGCGTTTTGAGCCGTGCTTACAAAACAAACACAAGCATGACACAACCAGCACAACTACTGTTCACTTTTTAAACCCAGCATGCTTTACGCCAGTATTCCATTACAATACTATCTTCAAAGACACAGCTATCAATAGGTTAGTTTTACATAGTATATGTGTGTCGGGTGGAGTGGCAAAGTGGTTTATTTTACTGTGCTCTAAAGTCAGTTACCCGAGTTTAATTCCCTTCCATGGCTAACATCTGTGGCGAGTGATGTCCGAAGCAGTCGCAATAAAGTGACTTTCTCCAACCTCACTCTGTCAGGTTTGACCAAGCGCTATATGCAGACAAAGTGGCCCACGCTTGGCTTACCTTCATCAATGTATCTGGCTGATATTTTTACGCACACTACTGTACTGAACAAATAAACACACGTGCAGTGCGACGGAAAAAAAAAACCTTTAGAGAACATGTTTCTTTCTCCACGTCGTAATGTCAAGATCAAAGTGGTGGGTGGGAGTCCATCAGCTGTTATAATCAAAGCTGCACGCTTAGTTAGCGGTGCAGAGCAAGGGTTCAATGATAAAATTGGGTGTCATTAGGAACATATGTATGTTGAACCTCTTTCACATCGTACGTAGCCAACCGTGCTAATCGGAGATGCGGCGGGGAAGACAACAAACTAAACACACAAATCAGTTATAAAGGAATGAGTTTTCAACCTTAGATTTAAAAGTGCATAGCTCCCAGTGGCTTCCTAATGTCGGAAGGAAGAGCGTTCCAGACGGGCGCAGAAGCGCATCCGAAAGCGTTCAAAGCGGTGACCGTCTGTGTTTGATGGCCAGCCAAAAGCCGCTGCTCACGAGGATGACCGGAGTTCGCGTGATGACGGTTAATGCTCCTTGGCGAGATTTGGTAGGTATCGTGGTTGGTTACGGGCTCTGATGCAATTCAATAGGGGCCCTCCCCCTCTTCAAAGCCCGGCGCCTGAGCTGCTTTGACCCATGGGACCCCCTGCTCCGGGTTCAGTTCCATTTCCTGCACGTTCCATAGCCACGCCACTGGGTGTGCAAACAGGTATCATCCATGATTAAATAACGAGAATTAGACGGCAGTTTTCAACTGCACGGTTGACATGCTGGCAACGTCTTCCTTACATACATAAAGTAAAAGTGTACGCCACTGGGTGTGCAAACAGGTGTAGTGACATAGCGCTGACTGTTGGACAGCTGCAGCAACTGCAGGTGGGCACTTAGCGCTCATGCTGTTGAGTATATACACGGTGTGTGTGCCGGCAGGGCAGAGGAACTGGGGCAAGGGTCACGATAGACCTCGTCTGGAAGCCCCTGGAACCTTCTAGAGGGTTTGAGAAGGGAGGCACGGCTAGGGCGGAGCCAAGACGCGCTGAGGGGAATAAAAGCGGCGGAGAGCGAGAGCTCCGGGCTGCCGGTTCTGGGATTGGACTCGTCTCGTCGTCGCTGCCCTCGTCGCTGACCTCGTCGCTGCCGCCTTCGCCCGATCATTGTGCGGCCGGACAGCGGTTGGCTGTCCCAGTTGACGCCGTCGATGCAACGCGGACAGAGTCGTGTCTGGGACGGGGCGCGCAGCAGCGGGGTCGCGTGTGGGAGAGAGAGGGGGCCCGAGTTGTGGCGTGAGTTCAGCAAGAACGAATAAAGAGGGCAGAACCCAGTCTCCGGCTGACTGTGTGTGCGACGCACGCCACCCACATGCACAGACGACACTACACAGGTATCATCCATGATTAAATAACTAGAATTAGATGGCGGTTTTCGACTCCACGGTTGACATGCTGGCAACGTCTTCCTTACATACATACATGAAGTAAAAGTGTACGCCAAAAACCCGAATCGCTCGCGTGATCTTGAATAGGCCAATAACAGGAGCATTTTAAACCAGCACAGCCGAGGCGCTGGCGAACACCCAGGGGCTCTCATATCTCGATTAGGGCATGCGTCGTCAACGCCTTGGCAGGCAAGTGGAGGTTTAGAGGGATGAGACTCATTTGATACATTAGTTCATACTATCAAGTGTTTTGCAATTTTATTGGCTCGAGATCAAATGTCTAACTATAAGTCTTAAACAAATGGATATCTTCACATACATCCTGTACATTGCTTTTTTACATGCATACAAGTCTAAAACATTTTGTTCGATACCTGACTTCACTTACAAATTAGCTAACACAGTATCATTCAAGTTGACATTTGCCCAAAACAATATTAAAGTACACCCGCACCAAGGCTCTTTTTTACATAAAATGCATTGCTGCATTAACCTCGCTTGAAGTTTTCCCGGCACGAAGCAAACATTCTCTCTTCCATGGCATTTCAACGACGCCGTGGCAACGACGCTGTAGAAACGTGTGTGGCATCACCCGCCTTGCTCTACGACGATGTCACCAATACGGCAAGAGACACGCATACAAAACCTAACCTCAAAGGTTTGACGCGCCGCTAAGAACGGCCACGGCCCCCCCCCCCCCCATCGAAAACGTCGCCTGTTATGCTGAGGGCTGCGCAGATTTAGGGGCCGTCCATAAATGACGTCACGCGATTTTGGACGATGTTTGACCCCCCCTCACCTCGTCACATGGCGTCACAAAAGTCAGACCCCCCTCTCAAATATGACGTCACAAAGCTCTGCCCCCCCCCCCCCCACAAAAAAACATGCTTCAAATCGCTTTAAACTATTGTCATTCTCATGCCTATTTAATGTGCCTCTGCACTCTGATGTTGAAGGAGAAAACATGTATTACAAAAGTATATTTAATTAAGTAGAACGTGTTGTCTATATGTATTTAAAGTTGCGCATTTTGATGTGACGTCACATTTCTCAAACCCCCCTCGTCACACATCGTCACAAATGTCTGACCCCTCCCCCCCTACCTAGGTGCGTGACGTCATTTATGGACGGCCCCCTACGAACGCGTCGTCGTTTGTAACCCCGTGCACGGCATCGCTTGCCACACCGACTCGTTTCTCAGCACGCGATTCGCCAATCGGAAGCACGTGGCCACTCTGGACAACAGCATCGTCCATTTTATTTGAAAAACAAATACAGAACACAGTACACGATTATGTTTATAACAGTTACAGTACAACGCAACGTCGTCTTTATCCGAGTCCCCATAAAGAACGAAAGCACTTTAATTTTGCGAGTAGTAGTTAGCTCAGACGGTATGCAGATGTATCCCCCTCTATATACAATGCTTTATTCTAATTATAACATGTTATAGTGAACGCCGAATGATTAGCTTTTTTTTTACTTTATGTTTAAACATGGATATTATATTACCTTTGTTTTAAAGCCTGGTGTTTTTTTTCTAATTAAAATGAAATAATGCGTATGGAAAGAAAAAAAAACAGATTTCGTTATTGATGGAAGTTCACGATGCACTTAGCCTGAGTTACTGCCTACATAATGTGAATATTACAGTGTGTCGATGTCCATAAAGTAACCGCTTAGGGGCCATCCATTTAGTACGTACGCATGGAGGGGGGGTTAACCCAAATGCGTACACTGGCGTATGGGGGGTATACTGACAATGTACGCATAGGAAGCCTCGATAATAATTGTACAGGGAGGGGGGGGAGAGGGGTCAAGTTTTGATAGATTTTTGCGTATGTATTAAATGGATTGCCCCTTTGTAGAGCCTTGGAAAGATACCTCAACTGAACAATATAATCAATACAGAAGGAAAGCCATACTAACATTGCATATGCTTATCATAAGGTTATTTTTTTCAAATGACCTTTCATAAGCAAATATCCAGAATTGTTGTATTGGTGATTGCCAATTATTCTGAGATCAAAAGCGCCATAGTGATGATGCTGATGATGAGGGTTTAATTTCTGCCAGGTCCTGTCTGGGTTGGCAAACCCGAAAATATTTCGAGCACCCATCAACACCACATCTATAATACCTCTTGCTATGAGTCACAGAGCCGACTGTTCCAGCCTGCCAGCGAACCAGACAATATTCAGTGAGAAATTAAGCCCTAATAATTATGATGATGATAATAACAAGAAAACCTATAATCGCAAGTGACGTTTCATTTTTGCATTAAGGGAGAAATATAGCATCAGAAGGAAGGTCAGCAATAGCGGAAAAGTTCATTGTAAAAGCAAGTAAGAGACGCATTTCATTTGAAAAAGCACGAAGAAAAGCTTTGGCAGGGCCCACTGAATGGGCAAATCATAATTAATACACAAAATTATATTACCTCTTGTGCAGGAAAACCATGCCAGATTTTTTTTTATAAACTGTATAAATAGCAATAATGTGAATCAAAGACCTAAAAAGAACGATTGTGACAACTACTACGGCTACTACTACCACCTGTGAATGTTTAAAACAAACCCCGCAGTACAGCATTGTCAACAGCACTTACAATTGTGATACCACGTGAACAGTCGTCTTTTTTTGCAAATTGCATGAATTGGGAGAAAAAAAACAATCATTTTAAGCCAATGAAGTTTAACTAAATTGAGAAACGTATTGACAGCAAAGCAGGCAAAACAGAGCTTAAGTGAATACGAAGTTCTCTATTGTTTAAACCCTTACAGTATAATAAATGCATTTAATATGCTTGATAAAACAGACTTTTTTTCTTAAAATAAATGTGAGCATTCTATTAATTTGATATTTTAAATGATTGTTTAGGATTAAATAACAATCACATGAGAAAAAAATATATGAGATGTTTTTGTTGTTGTTGCAAATAGGACTTCAAGAAAGCAACAAATGAGGACGCATCTTGCGACGGAATGTGCATAAAGGTGTGCGGCCAATACCGGGCAGTAGCCGAGAGATTTACGCGTTCAAAAACATCGCTAGAAACTCTCACGATATGAGCATCTGAATAGCACGAAGAGAAAAACAATATATAGCATCATCCTGATTAAAACAGCACGGTTGGCATATTAAAGAAAGAACACGATTCATCAATTGTATCCTCTGGTGCAGCCAGCTAACTGTGAAGCACACTGAAAACAAAAGACACGCTTAAAAGATGCACACGTATTTAAATTACATAATAGATACCTAAACTCCTTGCAGTCATTTATGCCACCACACGCTGGTGAGTTTTAGGCGGCGTGGATATCACGTATTAAGTTGAACTTCTTTCGCACCGTACGTAGCCGACTGCGCTAGTCGGAGGTGCCGATTTCAACAGACGGCAGTGGGTGAGGGTGGGGACGAGTGGGACAACACGTTACAGCCTTTCGTGTGAATCCACTGCGAGATCGGGGCGAGCCCACACCGTGCGGTTATGGGGGTTATTTGACCATACTTGACCACGGGTCGGCGCGTGCGTGGAGCACAGATTGTAGTTAAGTCTGAATTCTTGTTATGCTTGTGGTAGCAGAGAAGTACAGGACAACTGCGTATGCTCCCTACGGCACTGCCCTCCAGGACTAAACGTAAAGAGGGACCGAAGCTCAGTCTCGCTGAAAGGCACGGGCAAAATACCACACGCGTCACTACTTCGTGGTGGTGAATTTGTTTATATAAACAAGCCTAATGTTTGGCCCGGTGTGATGGCACACCAACAACATGAAGAAGCAATTTCATTAAAAGTGAACGGAACTAAATTAAACCGTTTTAAAACGCGAGTGTTTTTCTTAAGTATTCACCGGAAAGAAGGAAAAATATCAAACCTAAACATATATATATCACTCAAATGAACTAGCAATGCCTGGCTTATACTGGCGTGTGGCCTATATGCAACATTTTTTTTATTTTTTGTTATTTTGTACAAAAAATAAAGCACGGTTTGCCAAATATCACATCTGTTATAGCCGGATGAGAAAAAAACATGATCACTGCTGCTTGAGTTTAACACCTAGCATAATAAGCTGCACAGCAAGAAATAACCAAAGGCAAACAATCACTGACACATTGAAAAAGTCTGCCAGCTTTTTTTCTAGATTTACAGGGTCAAAGTAAATGTATGGAAGCACTAACTTAATTTAACAAAATTGGTATCAGTTGTTTGGAGTTCTTGCACATGAACAACACGAATCGAAATGCCAATGGCATTAAAATATGCCACAGTGTTCATCACTTAACCCTTTCATCTACAGACACCTGAGAAACCAGATTAGAATTAAAATGTCATCAAGTTCTCTATTAACTTTCGACGCACAGTATTTGTTTTTATGACACCACGTGTTGTTCTTAATCCCTGTTCCCACTGCAGACGACCTTTAAGGTCTGGTGTCAGGTCAACTGCTCAAAAGCTGAGGGATCTAGCATAAGGAAGCGATGGTAATGGTGTGGTAGCATCACTAGCAGTGGCCAAGATGACCTCCTGACCAAGCCAAACATATGTTTACACATACTGTAGATGCAAAGGGTAAATATCAAATCGCTCACGTACGCTAAATTACCTCTCTTCAATTTAATTAAATAAGTTAATGGTTCCATGGCTGGGCTGGCCCTTCTGGGCAGGCGTTGGTGCATGTCGTGCATTGCTTGGGGTTGGGGAGGAGCTGGTGGCCCTCACTGCTGGGCCCAAGGAACTACATTGGGCCCTCATCGTTGGGGGCCTTTTGGTACGCCAGGTTGGTCTTGTAGGGTAGCGGTCCGGCCACCGAGAAGCTGCCGGCCTCCTTCTTCCGCATGCGGTACACCAGGAAGAGGATGAGGAAGACGGCGAAGAGGAGGCCCACTGCGCCTCCGGCGATGATGGCTGCAAGGTACGCACGCGCACTCAGTTATTGTTATTCACAAGGTATTATCAAATGATGCATTAGGCGTACACACACACACACACGTACGATGCTGCCATGGCTTAACGGTTAGATCGCTGGACTTGCAATGCAGAAGCCGTTGGTTCGATCTCCCGGTGCAGCAGTTGAAACAATGGCCATGTTTCTTCAATTCTCCCACCAACCCCACCGTCTCTCGTGGGCGCCACGGTGGCGAGATGTCAACTACCTCGCCTGATATGCAGGAGGTCGTGGGTTCAATCCCGACGCTGATGCATATATATTTGGAGTTCGTATATTCTCCCCGTGGTCACGTGGATTTTTCTCTGGTGCTCTGGTTTTTCCCTACACATTTAGAAACGTGAGGCAATTACATCTCGCCACTAACAAGGCCCCTTGTACAATTTTGAAAAAATATATATTTTACCCGGCGAAAACATCGCAGTCATATGGAAGTATTTTAATAAGCGTAAGAAAGGAAGCACGTTGAAATTTAATCCGTTTAATGGGACGAGCAGACGGAGCTGGCGAGCAGAGCGAAAGCGTGCGGCAGCAGCTGGCTCCTCACCGGCCAGAACTTCCGTGCGGTCCAGGAGGCTTGCGCCGTGGGATCTTGTGAGCAGAAACGTCGTAGGGGGAGCTGCCCTCTGGTGCCAGGCCACGCTGGATCCAGGGGTCAGAGGGCGTCTCCGTCCCGGTCTCTCCAGCGGAGCCGCTCTCCTCAGGATAGTCCTCGGCCGACTCCCCGACCAGCAGCTGCAAGGTGGCAGAGGGCGCGGAGAATGTGAAGAGCCACGGTCACATGGTGCAGGAGGAGCTGGAGAGTGCACACTTGCCTCAAACGTCTCAGAACCCCGTGAACTCCGGGGTGACATTTCTTACACTCAGATGGTGCCGTTTTTTATTTTTTTATGGGGACAAATACAGTTTTGCATTGACCTAATTATAGTCGGGTTAATGGAATTGGATCAATAATAGGGCGCCACGGTGGCGAGATGTTAACTACCTTACCTGGTATACAAGAGGTCGTGGGTTCGATCCCGTTTTTGACAATGCCTGTATACTTAGAGTTTGCATGTTCTCCTTGTGGTCGTGTGGATTTTTCTCTGGGTCCTCTGGTTTTTCCCTCCACATTTAGAACCAACATGGGTTTAGAGTATTTGGCTGCCATACATTCCCACGTGATAAGTCACTTCGTTGAGCTATCATTTGTGACCAGGTCACTTCTGAAAAAGAGCTAGAGAGCTCAGTGGACCTTACCTGGTAAGATAAAAATAGTTTAGTTTAGAATTGATGAACCTATCTTAAGGTGAGATGATCTTTCCGTGAAATGTGGTCCATGTGTATTTATAATGATGCCAATAAATATTCTGAGTGTGTTGCCTTCTTAGCCACTTATGCTTTGTGGTCATTTTTGAAATTCGCACACTCTGCTGTAGGTGCATTTTTTTTGCGGCAACGAAATAACCTTTCATAAACCCTGTTCAATAGTGTAATGGAAGAACATCTCTCATGGCTGACTGCAGGGAGATAATGATGGTCGTTTGGTGTAAATCTATCAAGAGGCCAGTGTGCCACCGGGGAGAGCGAGTATCATTCCAGGAAGGGAGTGACAATTCATTCCCCCCAACAAAGGGATTTTCTGAATCGTTACGATCCAGTTGTGATTCGATTACAGAATCTGATACGAATGTTTCAGGATGCGTTTTATTAGCATAATACCGAATTATCTTTCATTAATCATTATACCCCATAGGATATGTTACAGTTAATCATAATATAAACAGTGGACTGTTGGATTGAAATAAAAGAACTCCCATAGGTTGAACACATAATTTACTTGTGTACGTGCTACAAATGCCGCACCTCAAATTAGCACAGTTGGCTATGTATGGTGCGAAAGAAGTTCAACATGCATACAAGACTACAGTATTATATCTCGGAAAAAAGGATGGAAAACATTGATTATTTTAGCAATAACCGTTTGGGTCTGTCCAGAATATAAGATGTATTGACATAGGGAGGTGTGAATGCATGCCGAAGCAATTTTATATTAAACAATTTTCATAAAATCATGATGAAGGTCCATGCGCTGCTGGCTTCTTAGGGCCACAATATTGCAATATAATTCTGCGTTAAATGCATAATCCTGCAATGACTGGACACATATTAATGTTCGGCTGCTCATCAGCGATTTTAATATCCTCCACAGTCAATTAAGGCCAACAACAAAGCTGCCTGCCCTATGGAAATAGTGAGATTGATCGGAACACTTTCTGATGACATTATTGCCAAGCAATAGCTCCAGGCATCTCAATGAATAATAAACAATGATTCATTTTCCGAGAGGAGCCTCAAGCGCAAGCGGTTTCTTTTACGTTCACAAAACAGCATGGCAAATATTGCAAAAACACCGCTTTGACTCACACACACACACAATCGCACTTCGCAAACCCAGAGGCCACAATCTCAAGATGGCCACTTGGCTCCTGAGCAGCAGTTACATCGCGTCGGCCATCATCCGTACTGGGTGCACACAACATCTCGTGTGCTGGGAGTTAACTGGCCATTTGGGAAATGTTCTCTGGGTTCATGATAGTGCGATGCTATTACAAGCCCTTGCGAATTGCATCATGGCGTACCTAGGCGTTGTAAAGGCGAACCCCGCTGGCAGAAATTGCAACGTCTGGAGCGCTGATAAATTGCTTACAAGAACTGGCTGCAAAGTAAAACTGCCGAGGGATTTATTGGTATAGTTCCACAGCAGCGCGCTGTAAATCTAACCAAAATGCTTCATGCGTTGTTAAACAGTGCTTTTAAAAGATCCCGTCACTCAGCCAACGCGTAACTTTATTCTATTATTTCAATACATTGCATGCATTTTTTTGAGTAGCTATTGTATTAATAGTAATTTGAATGTATAAAACATTGAACGACAATAATAGTGTCTCTTGAAAGTAGTCATGGTGTAAATTGGATATCTTCTAGAAGCATTAGAGGTATAGAGAGCAGACCCAAGGATTTACAAACATTGATCGCGATCAAATTCAGCCTGACCTCACCGTTTCACACAAAACGAATGCAACCGTTGTTCATACTCTCGTCACGTTAATGATTCATTGTTATTTTGACAAAAACAACTTTTTTTGGGGCTAAATGTGATTTGAAAATGTTTAATATAATTTCACAGAAGTGCTATAAATCTTAAAAGTCTATCACGATGGACGGAATTATCAAGGGTTAAACGCCTCTAATTTTATTTTCTCACGATTGTAATAAACCTAAAATGTATACCCTCATTTGAACTAAAATGTTATTTATTTACTTTTGCAGTTCCCCTTATATCTCAATTGCATTCATATTGCCATTTTCACTTGGCCTTCGTTTGTTTTTCTTCATATGTTTACTTCTTGGAAGCAAATTAATAATCAGTATATTTATAGGCTTCATAAAACCTGTAAAATTGTACAATAATTTGGTATTTCATTGTATTTCACACTGGAATTTGGCTTCACTGTATCGAATCATTAATTTTGACCCATATCTTCATTGAAAAAAGCCTCCCGTCTCTGTGGGTTCCTACATGCTTAAAAATAGACGCAGTAAATCCAGATCATTTGTGTAGGCCCAGATGTACAATTATTTTTCGTGGCAGTATGAGACTGGGTGCATTTGAAGGATAACTCAACGAAGGATAATGTAAATTGCAATGTCAGTCTAATACCTGTGGCATTTGTAGTTTCGCTTATTTGTCTGCTTTACGCCATACACCACGACTGGAAAAAATTAACCCGTAAAAACAAAGTTTTTCACTATAAATCCTTTATATGCGTGGCGGCTAGAGTCCTCTCGTCCTCTGGCTTGAGATGGCTGCCACCTATGGGTCAGATGATTGCCTGCCACCATTAAGCAATTGGTAAATAAATATAATATTTTTGTCCTAAAAAGTGTAAAATTTTGGAAATTTATTTTTCACAAACATTAATTGTCACGCACAAACGAGTCTGTGTGGAAAATGTCAGCTCGATTGGATCACGGGAAGTGGGTTAAAAAACGACCGAAAGATTTGCACGGTCCTAAGCAAGCAAGCAAACTTAATATAAAGGATTTAAAAAGAGCCTCCACTATAGGTCAAGAAAACGCCTCTCGAGGGCATTTGGCCTACTCTTCCATGCAGGTCAAATATCTTGGAAGAAGTGTGAGTACCCACACTTTACCCCACTGCATGTGACCCGCTGATCGACAAATGCCCGTCGTTTCAATTCTAAACGGGGAGATATACATGCACCGGCGAGTTCTGGATTGCCAACCAGTCCAGTCGTCATTGCGCTAACCTTTGCACCACGGCATAATCCTGACATTATAGTGGATTAATGCTCAGCATTAAGCGTCCTTGCAGGCAATGGGCAGTAGCAACCGCACGGTGGATTATGAGACATCTCCTTTACCAGTGGCAAAATATAGTAGTAGGTTTTTACCCTTTCAACTGGTACAAAAACTGACACCTTTATACAAGGCATCATGTTTGCAATAACCACATCACAAGCAGTCAAAATGCAAACAAAAAGAAACAACTCTGATGATGATAATGATATGCACTGCCCTTGAAGTTGATTGGTCCACATCCGAGACAGCTTTTCTTAGAGCCTAGTCTCCATTGGTGTTGGACCAGATGACGCCGAAAGGCGTACAACTCAAAGACAGTGCACTATCAGAGACATTGACTGCTTGTGTTGTGGTTATTGCAAACATGATGCCTTGTATAAAGGTGTCAGTTTTTGTACCAGTTGAAAGGAAAAAAACCTATTACTATATTTTGCCACTGGTAAAGGAGGTCTCATAGTGTAAATGCTTACCCCGAGCTCTCAATACTCTGATAGTGCGCTGTCTTTGAGTTGTACGCCTTTTGGCGTCATCTGGTCCAACACGAATGGAGACTAGGCTCTAAGAAAAGCTGTCTCGGGTGTGGACCAATCAACTTCAAGGATAGTGCATATCATTATTATCATCAGAGTTGTTTCTTATTGTTTGCATTTTGACTGCTTGTGTTGTGGTTATTGCAAATATGATGCCTTGTATACAGGTGTCAGTTTTTGTACAAGTTGAAAGGGTAAAAACCTATTACTATATTTTGCCACTGGTAAAGGAGGTCTCATAGTGTAAATGCTTACCCCGAGCTCTCAATACTCTGATAGTGCGCTGTCTTGGAGTTGTATGCCTTTTGGCGTCATCTAGTCCAACACCAATGGAGACTAGGCTCTAAGAAAAGCTGTCTCGGGTGTGGACCAATCAACTTCAAGGACAGTGCATATCATTATCAAAGTTGTTTCTTTTTGTTTGCATTTTGACTGCTTGTGTTGTGGTTATTGCAAACATGATGCCTTGTATAAAGGTGTCAGTTTTTGTACCAGCTGAAAGGGTAAAAACCTACTACTGCACGGTGGATGTCGATTCAGTGGAACGTTTACGAGAGTGGCTAGAACCCTCTCGCACGCGACCTCGTAATCAGATGTGAAATGGGGAAGTGGGCTGTGCGGTGTGGTGGAAGTCTGGGAGACTGTACCTCTGGTTTAAGGCTGGCATTATAACACATTGGGGCTAATGCGAGCACTGCGAGCGATAAACACTGCCTAAACGCACACGTAGTTGGATGAGGACAACTTCCCCTCGACATCTTCTTGGTTCTTTCGGTAAAGTCACGTAGAATGGAAATAATAAAATAATAAAAATAAAACATAATAAAATAATTCTCACGACGTTTCGGCCATAACGCAAGTAGCCGTCCTCAGGTGGAGAACAGGTCTGTCGGGAAGACAGAGTCTGAATGAATTCAGACTGTCTTCTCGACAGACCTGCGTTGTGGCCGAAACGTCGTGAGAATTATTTTATTATGTTTTATTATTCTATTATTTCCATTCTACGTGACTTTACCGAAAGAACCAAGAAGATGAATCCCTGCAGTCACGAAAGCTTTAAATCGAAATTCCCCTCGACAGTTGGAATCTGAATGGCCAGATTTTAAAATCAGTGATTCCGAGGTTTAATTTCTGATTAAATATTCTCCGCGGGTCCCACAAACCCCAATCTTCTGGACTCCCCCTTGACCCCCCCCCCACCCAAATAACTGGGTGGTAGGGGGTAAGCACCTCCAGCTAAAATTTATCCCGAGCAGTTTCTTAACGCACAGCGAACAATATAACTGTTTTTTTTTATAAACATGCGTTTATATATTATAACCGAAGCAACAAACTTAAAATTGTTTATTTGCCTGCTCATTTTCTGTCAAAAAGTAAACAAACATTCCAAATGTCTTGTCGGTTCGGAAAAAAATCTGACAAAACGATGATCCATAGGCCTAAATAAATAACCCCCGCCTCACCCCAGTGCACAAACAACAGCCCCCCGCCCACCCCCCCAGTTCATAGCCCACGGCCACCCACAGGTTCAAAAGCACGGAGCGTTTAATGCAAGGACGATCGTATTTAACAGGTCGGCGGTCCGTTTCCATAAACGTGGAAAACAAGGGAGACTCCAAGCATTGCCACCACACGGACACGTGCACATGGCGTTGGTGGCACAGAGAAGTCGAACATTAAAAGGGGAGAAACTAAAAGGAGGGGTACATGTGCCCTCATCTTTTTATATCCTTTATATTAAGTTCACTTGCTTGCTTGCTTGCGTGCTTACGACCGTGCAAATATTTCGGTCGTTTTTTAACCCACTTCCCGTGATCCAATCGAGCTGACATTTTGCACACAGACTCGTTGTGCGTGACAATTTATTTTCGTGAATTTTTTTCCCAAAATTTTCCACTTTTTAGGAAAAAAAAAATTTCACTAACACAATCATATATTTTTCCTAAACACAGAAAATTATTCTGGACATAAAGGATTTATAGTGAAAAACTTTGTTTTTACGGGTTAATTTTTTCCATTCTAAAATAAGCACAAGGGGGGGGGGGCAGAGATCAGACTGCCGTCATTAAAGGTACCTTTACTGTGTTCTGCGTCGTTGTTGGCAAAACCATGGTCGGGTTGGTCACCATCTTCTCGCCCTTGTGAGGTGTGTGCACGTTCCAGCCCTGGTCTTGCTCCGATAAATCACCTGGGTAAGGGTCCGGGCGTGGACAACAGATGTATTCAACAGATGTATTCAGATAATTCAAGACACGGCTCCCACAAGTGTCAACGTGGGCACCTGCCCATCATCATCATCATAAGCCATGACCAGTCCACTGCTGGATGAAGGCCTCCACAAGTCGGTGCCACCTCACAGGATTCTGCCCAGTGATTAGTCCACCTGCACACAAGCTGAATTCATAAGTTGCACTCGACTGCAGTGCAAAATCGTGTGTCCTACAGCCCTGATCAATGAACCGCTGAGACCCAGTGTGGTATTCGTGCATGGTGTAACTGTCATTTTCACATTTCCGACTTTTTCACATGTACACCTGTTCCCAGTGGGACGACGCGTATGCTATCATCAGGGCATTTGGTTTTACGCACAGAGAGAGGTTCATGCCGTTGAAAAGTAACATGTAACACTTTGAAAAGTTAATTCTTCCCTGTACTCATTCACCCCTTTACAACATTGTCTTTGCATTTATTTCTCAAGTCTTCGTTAATCAAGCGGCATTTCTTCCGACTCGTGAAATGTAACCGGAATTTAAACCGGCATTTACTCGCCGACGCATGTTTATGTTTCAACGTACGTTACATGACACGTTAATAGATATGTCAACATGGTAAAAAAAAATCTATGCGATTATTTACGTAAATATTTTATACAGCGAGCGTGTGATTACTATTGTTATATGTGTGACCGTTTACACAGCAAACCACCTCTGATTAGCAGGGTTGGCTACGTACGGTGCTGAAAGAAGTTCAACATACATTCATACAACGCATCACCGATAGTTCAAGACTTTTTTAAGGAGTGTCTTGGCAAGTTGTCCCAGTAGGAGGCGATGTCACTACGTATATAATCCAAGTGAGTCATTGACAGGCAATGTTTCAGCATTGGGACGTTTAGTCAACAACTATTCGGGAATCTAACCCAGGCTCTTTTTTACTGCGAGACACACATGAGGACGGCTGCTTGCGTTGTGGCCGAAACGTCGTGAGAATTGTATTTTATTATGTTTTATTTTTATTATTTTATGATTTCCCTTCTACGTGACTTTACCAAAAGAACCAAGAAAATGAAACTAAACTATTTATAACAATTTTTTTATCATACCAGGTAAGACCCACTACGCTCTATAGCTCTTTTTCAGAAGCGACCTGGTCACAAATGATCACAGAATTAAGTTGCTCATCGTGTGGAAATGTATACCAGTAGCCAAATACTCGAAACATTTAATTTCATTTATTTGGTATAGCCCTGTGAGCCATTCGGCTCTTGAATCGAGTGCAACCACAACAAACAAAAAAACGAAAAACATGTGATGTCGATTCGAAATGTGGAGGGAAAAACCGGAGGACCCGGAGGAAAATCCACGTGACCACGGACAGAACATGCAAACTCCAAATATGCAGGCATCAGGGTGGGAATGGAACCCAAGACCTCCTGTATACCCGGCGAGGTAGTTAACATCTCGACAACCTTGGCGCCCAAATGTTACCACTGTGCCACCATGCTGTCCAGTATATGCCTTAGGCCATACATATTAAACCTTGAGTACTTCATTCTCGGATTGACTTGATTATTATTTTATCACAGAAATGCTCATGCCTTTGGGCTCTTAAAACCTTCAATTGTTTTTTTGCTACCAAAAGAAGAAAAACAACACTGCACGCTTTTAATTATATATCACCAACCGCAAGGTCTGCCGAGTCAGCAAACAAAATTTTGTGTCGACGTAAAATGTAGAAATTCCAATCATTCATAATGGTCATTAGCAGTAAATCCTCAAGCTTGGTAAGCTTGCTCAGAATTAATGGAGATGCATAAATGTTATCGAAAACCGCATCTGCCCGGATGCTTTTTTTCGCCAGGCAAATCGACTGGCGTCTGCACATTCATGAGAAACTGCTGTGAAACAACATTATTCTGAGTCATGAGTTCTGCCTCATATTGCCCATTATCAATGCAATTTGGATCATCGTTACATAGATCTCTGGTGTGGCCTTTGGCGTAAACATTGGTCCAGGGTGGCGCGTTGCATTCCTTTTTGAGAAATGAGGCCAAAGGCTCCCGCATCCACGGAACACTGTGACACAAATTTCCAGTAAGAGGTTAGTCAGCGTTTCTGCTTCTCCAAGCTATAATTGCTGCACGCAGACATATTTTGGGGGATTTTTTTTGTTACTGTGCCTACTTAGCTCGAGGGAAAACTATGCAGTGTAAAAAAAATACTGCCGGCTTGCCTTTGTGCCGAGTTGAAATGTGCACTGCTGCGTTTCGATACCGAAAAAAAAAATCTATAATAATGATGCGCTTGTTCTTTCATTTTAAGGCCCTTAAAAAGCTCTTGCACAGTGCACATTTATTGTTGTTAAACCACGTCTGGTTATGGATTGGTAAAGTAAACACTGGAAAATGTACGAGTGTGTATATGAAGAAAAATACTATACACGCTGCCAGACAATACAATTTTAAACTTTGCCCCTATTTAAAATGACACTTCGCAATTCGTGTCCTGTTTGTGTCCATTTGTTTACAATGTTTGCTCAAAAGCTTTGTATGCAGAAAAAATATTTCTTACAAATAATGGGGTTTCCCCCCCCCCCCCCCCCCCCATATAGTATGTATTAGCCGTTTACAAATCATTTGAAGATTCATGTCCCAGGCGTGGCAGTTTAGAATTTTCTGAAAGACAAATTTGGCTCTTTCCACGCAGGCCTTCGTGGCAGGCGAGCTCACTCATGACAACGTTCGCGACCCGTACACGGGAATTGCACCTCCGTTCGTGCTGCATCGGACATCCTTTTAACTCAGACACACGATGGTATGTGGCCACGCGATGGGACAGACGGATCATCTCGGAGGCCCCACATTAGGATGCTGCCATGGTGTGATGGTTTAGGACACTGAAATTCGAATCTAGAGGTCGGCCGGATTGATCCAACCTCCCGGTGGGTGCGGCGATTGAAACAATGGCCAAAGTTTCTTAAATCCATCTCGCCTCTGTTGAACCAGCGGGTTTTAATGGGTTCACCGCAAGTAGTCGATCGGTAGGTCGTGTGCGCTGGGGTAAGGTGTGGGTTACTCCCACCTCTTCCAAGACATCTGGTCAGCGTGGAAGAATGCGCAAAAATAACCGCTAGCGGGGACCCTCCCGCCAGCAGTAGGCAAGAGCAAGCGATTGCACGGGCTGCCCCTTTACCCTTTTATCAGTGCTCTTAAACTACTTTTCAGAAGAGACTTTCACCGGTAAGACATCATCAGTGCGAGGACCGCCACATCGCCTGCAAGGGGCGTTTTCAATGTTTGTGTACTGTCGGGGCCGCACGTCAGGGACCGCACTAAAGGCCACGAGGGGCCGCAAATGGCACGTGGGCCTTGCAATGAAGAACACTGTTATACATGTGTGTGTGTGTGTGTGCTGAACTTCTTTCGCACCGATTTAAAGCTTTCGTGACTGCAGGGATTCATCTTCTTGGTTCTTTCAGTAAAGTCACGTAGAAGGGAAATAATAAAATAATAAAAATAAAACATTATAAAACAATTCTCACGACGTTTCGGCCACAACGCACTCGTCTTCAGACGCTGTCTCCCCGACAGACCTGGTCTTCACCTGAGGACGGCTGCTTGCGTTGTGGTCGAAACGTCGTGAGAATTATTTTATTATGTTTTATTTTTATTATTTTATTATTTCTCTTCTACGTGACTTTACCGAAAGAACCAAGAAGATTCTTTCGCACCGTACGTAGCCAACCGCGCTAACCGGAAACACACTAGGGAGAGGCTCTCCTCACCTGAGCCGGAGTAGAGCTCGCCTTCATCTCCTCCCTCGTCGTCTGTGCTGAAGCCCGAGCCGGAGAAATCGTATTCGTCCAACAGATCCTCGTAGAACTTCTCCGTCGAGGGCATCGCCTGCGGGAACAACGAGCGCGGTCAACGCGACTGCCCGGCCCGGCCGCTTTGCGAGCAACCGCGATGGGAAACGTGGGGGGTCGCCACCAATCGCGTGGCTTTCCCCCCCCCAAACATCGGGCCACCTTGAAGCAGCTGCTGTCCTCGGAAATATTCTGTGATGCTTCCCGAACGTTGAAAAGGCACCGGTGTTTTTTGTCGGTTGCGTAACAACAATGCAGTACTCACGACGGCGCGTTTCAGATGTAGTTCTCACCCCTTCCGATATCGTGACATATTCTGCTTTCCGTTATGGGTATCTTTTTAACCTTAGGAAGTAGCGACCATATGTGGACATCACCTGTGTAAGTTACAGCTGGGACGATGAGTCGCTTATCAATCTATTAATTCAGTGTAATTTTTAGATCGACTTGATTCCGTTGTGGTCGGTTACTCGGGCCCCTTTAAAAGTCGCAGCCTCCCCAACACACCCACTGCTTCCTGAAGGCTGGAAACCTCCTACAAGCCACACCAAGCACCACAATGCAAACTACGTCACCGACGCTTCCTAAACCTCCCGTCCAGTGGCACACGTGAAAAGGCCGGCAAGACAAATATCAACTGAAATCCATGAGAGTTATCGGTTACTTAAATGATCGGACATCCCAGCTCGTGTCATTTATCCTTGCTGCACCCCTCGTGGCCCAGACTCCTTCACAACGGCGATGCAATTCCGCCAAACAGCCATTACTCCAGCGCATAATGCGGCGAACAATACAACGCATTGTATTCAATTGTATTCAATTACGAAGGCTCTCGCGGTCGCGCCACACGGCTCTCCGATGCGTATCTGGGTCCTCCAGTTTCCGCTCGTACGCACGCACGCACGGTCAGCTTTCTCCCAGCACCCCGGTTTCCTCCCAGACGAAGCAAAAACAACCAGAGCCACCGTACGTCAAGAGCGCCGGTCCCAATCGGTGTCAAGAATGGACAACCGTCACTTAGCAGCGGGCAGAGGCTCCGCAACAACTTGGAACAAAACGTTTGGACATCAGGTCTAACATGGTGTGTCAGGACAAACCGAAAACACATCGGGAGAAGCGTCTCGTAGTAAATCAACAATTTAAGTGTACGACGTTTTCAAGGAGTAGTAAGTCATAGTTATTTCCTGCTAAACCCTGTGACCAGCCCTGAGTCAGTGTTGCAAATTGCACCCCATTTGCGTAGGTTAGGAGGGAGTCATTGCAGAGGACAACCGCTGTTAATTGCCACTGAGTGGCACTTATTTTAGCGACCCATGGGGGAATGATTGACACGGCGAGTTGATCCCTAACTGGGTTTCCCACTCGCAGCCTTCTGAGTAACAGCCCGGGCATTCTGAACGCGGCGTCACCGAAAGCCCAAGATTCATAGTCACCGTTGGAGCGGAATTAAAAGCCGTTCGAGTAATATGAATGTTAGAACGTTATGTAAAAAGAAGATATATTGTATTGCAGAAACATGGACATGGTTTAGAAGTACGAAAACTAGACATCAATTAACAACGCACACTCCCAAATGCCAGCTTATAAAAAGTAAGCATTGTGTAAGAAATATATATTTATTAATTATGATTGCACATATCTCGTGAAAAATTTCATAACTCTTAGAAAAAAGCGCGTAGCAAATGCTAGCTTTAAAAGCCCTCTCTGTTAAAACAACACACTGGAAACATTACAAGCTACGTTATAAATACAGTACCACATCGATATTCCGCCCAAGGGTAACTTTTCAAAAGCTTAAGGAATACTTTGATGTTTCGTCGGCATGGAAATACAACAAAAAACCTCATCTACAATGCGTTGACACAGGCGCACGCAAAGAAAGTGTAAACCACGTTTTCTCCGTGAGAAGTATAATCGCTTATAGGCCATTAAATAATACATCTGAGATCAATTTACGTTTAAATTTAGAATCTAAATGAATGCGTGCGTCTGTAGGCATGCCAACACACACTTATTAATTTAAGCAAAATCATCACTCATGGCGAACAGGGTAGAGACCTCCTGGCAATACCGTTGGGTAACATATTGCACTGAACACGGTAATCAGGGGATTGTGTTGTCTTGGTGCGATCTTGAATTGTTGTTGTTGTTTTGCTGCCTTGCCCCAGCTTGCATTTGGTCTTCACAGATCTGCAGGAATGTATCTACTCGTGCAATTTGTACTTCCATGCGTTATTGTCAGCGAGTTACAATAACAAAAACCCATAAAATATTTGATTAAGATAAAGAAAAGTTAAGCGAGTCATTCAACAACTTTTTCCTATCTTAATAAAAAAAATATTTAATGGTTTTTGTTATTGTAACTCGCTGACCTGCCCCTACTGGAAGTCTGCGAAAAAGAACTTCATAGCTCATCAGATTCCTCCAGGATAAATAAAGATTATGAACCTGATTTAGACCAGCTGCTCCTGCATGCCAAAGCTGTCCGCACACACACACACGGACAGTCCCAGATAGTGACACACACAACGAACTGACGCTTGCATCGCACACACACGCCGATGTGCGGTTTTTATTAAAAGCTCCTCCACTAATTTCTACGGTTGCTGCCGTAAGCGTAATGGTGAGCGCCGTGGAACTGCGGTGCAGAGGTTGCTGGATCATTCTACAATTGTGCTATCCGCGTTGTGTCACTATTCAAATTATTAATTAGAAAATCACACGCACGGCAGTGTGATCTGCGTGCCAGAGAATGGCTACGTAACAGCACCCTTCACGGACTTCTCCAAAACAATCTCCAGACGACCTTTTCATTCTAGATTTGAAGCTTTAGTGACTGCAAGGATTCATATTCTTGGGATTTTTCGGTAAAGTCACATAGGTATTTTTTTTTTATTAATAAAAGTAAAATAAAAATAAAAATGATTTTTATTTTATTTTTATTTTAAAATTAATAAAAGTAAAATAAAAATAATTTTTATTTTATAAAAATAAAATAAAAATGATTTTTATTTTATTTTTATTTTACTTTTATTAATTTCGATTTTTTACCTAAGTGACTTTACCGAAAAAACCCAAGAATATGGACCTTTTCGTTCTTCACACGGACGGGGTCACACGTTTGCACGCCACTTCGGCGAGATGTTAACTACCTCGCCTGGTATACAGGTAGTCGTGGGTTCGATCCAAACCCTGATGCCTGTATATTTGGAGTTTGGGTGTTCTCTCTTCCCGTGGTCGCGTGGATTTTTCTCCGGCTCCTCCAGTTTTTGCTTCCACATTCAGAAACACGCGTTTAGAGTACTTGGCTGCTCTACATTTACATATGATAAGCCACTTCGTTGAGCTATCGTTTGTGGCCAGGTCACTTCTGAATAAGAATGATATAGCTCAGTGGGCCTTATTCTTTGATTCTTTCGGTAAAGTCACGTATACTGCCAGTACACTCACCCAGCTTAATAACCATTGCTACAGTCTACATTATAGACTGCCAGTACACTCATCAAACTTAATAACCAGGCTATAGTCTACATTATAGACTGCCAGTACACTCACTCCGATTAAGAACCAGGCTACAGTCTACATGAGTTTTTTTTGTTTTTTATTTTTCACTTTTATTATAATTTTTCTATCTACGTGACTTTACCAAAATAACCAAAGAATATGAATTCCTGCAGTCACGAAAGTTTTAAGTCAGTGGGCCTTAACTGGTAAAATAAAAATAAATAGTTTATAGTTTAATTAACATGCGCTCTGCTATGAGATTGTCGCATGACTGTGAAACTGTTATTTCACAATTTTAAAGCTGAAAAGTAGCTACATTATAGTGCCAAAATTATATTTATTGATGGAGGGGAGGGGGCTCTTTTTTCATGAAGTCGCTGTTAACCAAGCCGAGGCCATCAACTCACCGCCCTTTAATCACAGGTGGCTGAAACCCGATTCGGAGCCAGAATCCTCAACTATACCGGTTCAGCGCCCTGACCTCTGAGCCACCCTTGCCTCCTCCAATGGGTCCTCCGCTCAATTTATACTTAAACGGCCAACGCTGCCCGCAAGAGCATCCACTACTACGTAGCTCTCCCCAATGTGTTGTTGGGCTGTTCAGCACTTTGTTGTTCGGTATAACGTCCACGTGTTTGGGAGTTTTTTCAGTTACGGCGCGGGAAAAAACGAAACGTCGGACGCCACTCCAAAAAAATCTATAAAATATAAAAAATATATTTAAAATATATAAAACCTCGGAGAGCCACACAGCGTGACCGGCGAAAACACGAGGGCGGCCGTCGTATCGTCCCGTAATTCTTGCGTCGGGCAAAATGTTTGACATCTCAGCGATCGATGTGACGATTAGTAAAAGCCGCTGCCCCCCGCCACCCCTCCCCGGCTGTCAAGGTGCCAACCTGTGCTCTGGCACGAACTCCCGTAGGGTCTCTCGGCGTGGCGTTAACGCGGGCACTGATGGTGAGCGCACGCGAGACGGCTGGTGGCACTTGAAGCTATTCTTTGGTTCTTTCGGTTAAGTCACGTCTAAAGATAAAATAATACATTAAATAATAGCATATTACCACGTTTCGATTGCAACACAAGCAATCATCATCAGGCATAAAAGAAATAGCAACAAAAATCTAACTAGAAAACTATAGACAGACATACAAGCTACAGACATCACAAGGACACACAGAGAGAGGACACATATCGGCACAAAGAGAGAGGTCGTTTCTGTGACGGGACCTTAAATATAGAGAGGGGGGCGGGGGCGGAGAGAGGGAGGGGGCAGAGACAAAATTAGCATATCAATGAGTGGACGACAATGTGATGTTGCAGCTATGCCACCGAGCCATCGAGGGGGTATTGTGTGGTGGGGGGGGTGGTGGCAAGGTGGGTGATGGCACACTTCCATTTGTTCGCCTGCAGCAAAAGGGATGTAAGCACAAGCCGAGGCAGTGGATGCGTACGTGCCATCCTATATATCTATTTTTTGCTTTCCAGAGTCATGTCCTGTGAGATGTATTGGTGAGATGCTGGAAAATGAGA